CGCTGTGCTTTTGCTTTATTGACTTTGTCCTCACAAATAAAACTAAACCTACCTTGATTACAAGGCTTGGGTGTTTATTACAGATATAAAATGGGATGAAAAATTCTGGCTCATAAAAATATTTCTCTGGCTCAGAAAATAAGTGCTTCCCCGACTCCTAGCACAGACCGACGTTCCCAGCAAAAATAACACAGTCAAACCATGAGGAAGGCTTGTGCTGTTCCACAGATATCTACATCTTTAGCTACCAAAAATATGGGTGGCTGCTGACACGCTAAAAAGTTAAAATGCACAGAGAAATCACCAGGTCTTTCTGTTCCAGCTGCACAGCTTAGTGTGGTGGCCGCCTACGAAACCCGGGTGTCGGCTGCGTTTGCACAGGCAGCGAAACCCAATAGCTGCACTCCGACACCTGGCAAAACAGCCTCTGCGAAGGTGGGGGATCACTCGGTCACTGAATGCCAACAGGAGATAAAGAACAATAGAGACTGTTTGCTTTGAAAAGTAATGTGCTGGTGTTATTACTCCTCAGTTATCAGCCAAGATTTATGAACTGCCAGGAAACCCCTTGCATTAGTGTTTGTAAGTCACCGGTTTTCGTGGTCTTGATAATCTAATTTTGTTTAGTTTTCAAGCACTTTGGAAACTGCTTGATAAAATTTGTCCATACGTCAGAGTTAATGCATATACCATTAAGTCCATTTTTTTGCATGCAAAAGTCTGGAAGGTTCCTGCTAGTGAAGGGGGCACTTGCAGTGTGTACTCCCATGTGAAGCACACCCAACCCAAAAGAATACATCCAGCATCTTGAGCTATATTGTGGTCGATTAGCTACTCAGCTACCAAAATAAACCCGTCCAGAAACCTTGTCTCACTTGATCTTATCCTAATATTTGTCAGAGATAATGATCTATTTCCTGAGAATCTCCATTCTTCTGTTTACAACAATAGGACCAGGTCAAATTGACCCCAGTGTTTTTATTCCTCACTATGAATTAAATTTGGAACTAGTATTAAGTCTCCTTAACCAGGACACTGATTCTTCTGTGTGTTGCATTTGCTGTGACAAAGATGAGCCCTCTGTTTTGTCTGGAGCTCAGCTAATTTAGGCTAATGTCACTTAAAATAGTCTAAAGTAATTAAAAGAGGAAAACAGCTCTGGAAAACTGAAATTCATTTCTCAAAAGCAAGAATTTCTGAAAGGTCCTGAGAAATTGTCCAGCTCAGTGTAACTCCATCTCAAACTGCAGACCCATGAGTTTAAATGTGTTGAATGCCAGACTCCTAGTAATAGTATTGTGTGGTATTGCAGGATTTTATTTATGGGTTTTTTATGCAACTATAAGAGTGCTCTACTATTAAAGGGTCCATACAGAGTTACAGACTGCTTTTCTAAGAGATAGTATTTGTATTCTTACTCCCCTCAAACTACATAGTACTAACAGCATAGAGAAACAATTCATTTTTTTAAAAACGATTTTCAGTTTACAAATGGCATCCTTACTATAGCCCTTCTGTCACCAGCTATTAACTCTTGTAGTACAAATTAAAGAGGGAAAGTTGATGGCAGATCAGCAGGCTGGTTGTCAGTAGAGATGCTGGTGGTAGAGGGCAGCTCTGGACAACTTTAAGGTTCATCATAGATTAACCACAGGGTTAATCTAATTCATAATCATAGTAATCATCATCTGTGTTTACTCCAACACTGGAGGCCTCACTCGGTTTCATTTTCTTTCTGTCCTCTTTGCCTCTCTCCATGGAAGACAGATTATCCTCACACTGCTGCAGAATCTTTTTGGAAGACATCCAGCTTTCTCCTCGGCTTTCTGCTGGGGCCGCGCACTGCCCGCCCCTGACATCCGTTCCCTTGGCCACCAGCGCTCTTCTGGTTCTGAGAAGGTCGCAGGTGCAGTTCCAAGGGTTTCCATCTAAATACAGATGACGGAGACGAGGTAAATACTCTAAGACTTTGCGATCCAAGGCAGATATCTTGTTGTTCCGTAAATTTAGAACCTGAAGCTGTTTCAAGTCCTTCAGCTCTTGTTCTCCAACATCCTCTATGTCATTTCCCTTTAGATCCAACCTAGCAAGGGTGTCGGGAAGTCTGAAAAAAAAAATAAAACAACACAAATGTGTTATGTTCATCATATTGATTCGGTCTGTGTAAGTGGTATTTGGTACTGGGTATTTGCCCAGGCACACCTGACATACTAAATAAAACTATCACTAACAAAAATTCAATCTTCTGCAAAAAAAGATGTGGTCCTGAAATTTTAATATCTTTTTTTTTTTTTTTAAAGTTATAGGAATACTGTGCACACTTGAACTGTTTTCCCAAATTATTGCAGTTCTGACCTGTACTGACTGTGTTTCTGCAACTGAACTAAACAGGAATTTTAGTCCTACTGTCCTATGAAGAAATTTATATGTTCAAATGAATGTCAAGCTTAAAAATGCATTTTGTATCCTTTAATGCCATAAGTATGCCAATGACCAAATTATAGCAGCATTGAAGATCAAAAGTTTAGAGAAGCATGGCAACACTGTTCCTTCAAGTACTTCTTGGAGGGCATCTATCTCCTCCTTGGGCAACCCGTTCCAGTGTTTCACCACCCAAGTGAAGTGGATTATTCTCAGAAAAAAAATAAAAGCAGCTTGCTTTCTCGTCATTCCTGACCAATAACTGCTAAGACCCATTAACTCTGCCATATTATCTTTGAGCCTTTGAACACTGGTGACTAAGTTCTCAGATAACTGTCAGAAGTAATACTTTTATTTCTGTACATCCATGTGTACCTGATGATCAGCAGACAATTAAATGAAGTACATAAATTTTACATCTTGCCATTTTTTCCCCTCTTTTATGTTTAGAGCCTCCCCTTGAAATCTATATTCATTGCCGAGTTAAAAATAGAAGTCCCCAGTATCTCCTTAAAAGCTCTACTGTTTAAAGGCTAATAGAGAACTCCTTCCTGTTAATTCTCTTGACTACGAAGGTTGTAAAAGAAGATGGATTAGACAATAGTAAAGTAACTAGAAAGCATTAAACATTCCTGTCAAGCTAGACTGAAATAAAATATTTATACACCACCACTAAATCACTTTCTGATTATAAAGCTGCTGCCAAACAGATTCAAATGCTAAAGGACCTCATGCTAAACAAATTGAAATTTTACTGCATTATTTATTTGGACTAGTTAAACCTGTCCACAAGCCATAAAAATAAAATTTAATAGTGCAGTTGTGTTAAAGAGGTTGATGTTAATGGAATTACTTTGCTATTTTTATGCCACCTTATTACACAGCTTTTTGAAATAATAAATTTGACACTTTATATCAGACCAGCCTCCATTTGGCATCATATCCCATCTCCAATAATGGCCAGGACCAACACTCAGATGAATGTGAGCGAACCTGTAAGCAGGGCATTAATGAACACAGTGTGCCCAAGGGATGTTTCTTCTGTGCTCCTTTGACTAGAATTTTGCTTATAGCCTGAGCCAGGAGAGCTTATACACATTCCAAATACTTCATAATGTGTGAATTTAATGAAGTTGGGAATGCTAATAACCACTGAAAAAGCACATTCTTTTTGACCTGACTCAGCTCCTGAAATCTTAATATTTGAACAATAATAAATTCAGTGTGGGTTGGTGGAAACATCAGCCTTAAAATTGCTTTTTCCTTTTTATTGAATGCACTATTAATTTTCTGTTATGGGAGAAGATAAATCCAAGCAGCAGTATAACTTCTCTGTAATCATTCTGTTATATTCTCCTAGCAGGTTCTTCTTATTTGTGTGCTAATTGAACAAAGTAGTCTCACTGGCAGGGAGAGATGTGAAATGAGTAGATTCACTGGGGGCAACAGATCTAATGAAAACAGCTCTACTTCTGTGCTGAGATTGCTAACAAGAGTGCTAATTAGTGCCAATTATGGCAGTGGGTTTATGGTTTGGATAGACTTCTGCTATGACTGGGTCTGAATGCAATTTTTTTTCCAGTTTAGCCCTCATTCTCCTAATGTAAGAAAGGAGAGATGACACCTGGGAACCAACTGTCCTCAGATTCACTTGCCTCAGAGGAATAGAAATGAGGAGATTCTGTTCCAGCGCCAGATTTGAAAGCTGCACACACTGCTGAAGAGCTCCTGCCTCAAACATGCTAACAGCATTGTTGTCAAGAAACAAGTGCTTGAGATCTTGTAGTCCTTGGAAGTCCTGCGCTGTCACCCTTTGAATCAGGTTATTGCTGCAGTCGAGCTTCTGCAGTCTGCCTGGCAGCCTGAGTGGCATAGTGTGGAGCTGGTTCTTAGAGAGCTCCAGTGTTGTTAAGTTAGGAAGAAGCTGGGCACCATCTATTGATGTTAGCTGATTTTCTGACAGGAAGAACTCAGACAGGTTTTCCAGGTGTTTCATGTCTCGAAGTCTCACTGTTTTGAGTTGGTTTTTCTCTAATTTTAGTGACAGCAGGGATTTGGGTAGGTCAAGAGGCACTTTTGTCAGAAAGTTGCCACTTAAACTGAGAAACTGTAGATTTTGGAAAGATGTAAAGAAGTTGGTTGGAAATGAGTTCAGTTTATTATCAGCCATGCTCAAATACTTCAGCCTAGGAAGCTTAAGTGGTGCAGACACAGATTCCATGTTGTTGCCATCCAGAATCAGACTTTGTAAGTTGCAAAGGGAAGAAAATGCACTTGGAGACAGAGTCACAATCAAGTTGTTCCGAATATCAAGCACCCTTAGTTTCATCAAACCTTCAAAATCAGACACATGCAGCGTGTTGATGGAGTTATCGGCGAGTTTTAAAATTTCAAGACCAGCTGGGAGGAAGGTTGGTATTTGCTTTAGCTGATTTTTATAGAGTTCCAGGGACTTCAAGGTGCTCAAAGCTTTGAAAGTGTTGTTTTCTATTGATTCTGTGCCACTGCATGACAGGACCAGCTCTTCAAGGGCTGACATTCTCCTGAAGTCAGTAATCTGAAAGAGAAGAAAATAATTCATGTGATAGTACACTGTCTATTTACGGATCTCCTCACAGGTTACTTCTTCTGGATGGTCTGACAATTGCTAGTATATATTGAGAAACTATATGTTTAGAATGAGAAACTAAGAGAAGTGGTAGTGGTAAAGGTGTTATTATAGGTACCTGTAGTTTGCCACTATTTACTTACATTTCTAGAATTTTGTTGTTTAAGTCCGTATTGTGTCTGGTTTTGAGCAAACACACACACACATCAGAAGAAGAAATATTCCTTTTATTTCTACCTGGTGGATAGCCTGTGTAAAATGGAGAGCTAATATCACCAGCTGCAGAAATCCTTGCAGAGAGTAGGTGGTTGTTACATGTTCACTGCACTCCACGGACCTTGTTGGAGCAGGTTTGAGTTCATCCTACAGCCGTTTCCATATATCAGCAGTATTGTCCCTGCAGCGTCTATTCCCCAGAGGAAGTACACATGGATATAATCAACCCTCCTACTATAAAGTTTTGGCAGGAAACTAAAATCCAATGCTTGTGCTTCTTCTCTTCCACCCCCGCATCTCTCCTTTTCTTTAAAGTAAAAGCCTCACATATTAGATGACCACACCAAGTGTGTCAGATCAGTTTGGTTTGAAAATCACCTCTGTGGAACAGGTTGCTTTTACAAGAATTTAGTTTTTGTTAGTTGCTAATAAGCAGATGCTTTGCAGTGGTAAACAGAACTTCCATGTTGACTGTGACTATAATATATAGTCTTACTAATTGTTTCATTACTTTCTGCTCTGTTTTTTTTTTCTGGAACCTGCTTGTTTACAAAGCTTGCCACCTTATGTCTCAAGTTAAAAAGCAAACTTAAGTGAATCTGTCAGTTTTCTCTGAGCCGAGATAGGAGGAAGCATGCAATGAGAGTGAGCCTGGGAATCCTCCAAGCATATCAGTTATTTAAACAAGAGTTCTTGTTCTCTGAGGTTATCGGAGATGTTTCCCATTGAACTAGGTGCTTAATTTTTAAAAATTCATTTATAGGGGAATCACAGAAAGCTCAGAGCAAGGTGAGCACGTGTTCTGCATAGGAGAGGTGGGAAGGAGTGTTCTCACCTATTTTCCCTTCCCACGTCCAATAAACATCTCAATACAAATCTCAGGGGTACCATATCAGTAAGAGATGTGAAACACTATAGTCTTCGTGGTACTTTCCCCAGGTCTTAGTTGCTACCAGCACATTTTACTCTCATTAAGAGAGGCTATAAAGCATGTTCTACAGCATAACCCCTCATCCCAGTCAGAAATCTACACGGAAAGCAGTACAAATCCATTTGCAGCTCAGGAATTAGGTAGCAGTTTTGTTCTATGATCCTGATAGAATATGTTTAGCTATCATACTTGTGTATCTGAAATCTGCTTATAAAGGTGACTGCTAAAAGATCCCTTCCAGATTAATTTATCTGTCTCTTGCATGCTTTTGAGTTGTCTCTACCTTAACTACATTTTAACTTCTGTTAAAATTAGAGCCCAGAGAGCTGTGAAAGAGGAGTCAGGTTTCATTTTGCCCTGGTATCCTTAGTTGTCATCAGCTTCTGATGACATTCATTCTGTTTTGTAAAGTAATTTCTGAGCATTGCAAGATTTGATGCAGTTAGTGAGAAAGTCTAGATAAGGAACCTCCTTTATTGATGCAGATTTCTCTATCAATTACATTTCAGTTGAATGAAGGAATGTACTTTCCTCAAGAAACATATTCTCAACAATAAATAACAAAGGTGTCCATTTTCTATTTTTTCTATAATTGCAGTTTTGTTTTATATATATATATATCTAAATATATAAAAATTATAGAATTGCCTGTCCAGTTTTGATCATGATTAGGAGGCTAATCTTGCAAAGCTTTATCTTGAGAAGTCCCACAGGAATGAACTGCATTGCTCAAGAGCCGAAAAGCATAGTCATATGTAAGTGGTAAAACAGTCTTAAGGAAATTGAAAAAAATGTGAACCTTCATAAGTTCAACAAGTTTTCTCCTCTAAGTTCAAAAGCAATGTTTCCTGCTTTTCCTCAGCTGATTGCTGTATGTCTCTAAGAGGCTTAACTTTCATCTTATTAAGTGACAGAGAGCTACGTGAAGGTCAATGTGCAGACACTCATTCTGTAATGATGTTAGGCTTCTTAATGTGGATTATTATAATTTCTATTTTCCACCTATTTGATATGCTTTGCCAGGCTTTGTGACCATGCTGCTTTGAGCCTTAAACATTTATTCGTGCTGTTACAACCACCCAGTCTTTCTAATCTCAATCAAGATATATTTGAAAGCCTATCAATCAGCTCTCTTTTTGCAATGAAGTAATGTTTATTCTCCAACTAGACTGTCCGAAAAGTGATACTGATATAGTTTTACATTTTAAAAAGTAGATCTCCTGAAAATGGTTCTAAGATACTGTTATTTTAATAGAAACATTTTTTTATTATTTTTAATGATTTTTTTTTTGCTTTTAGAATTTTTTGTAAACTGGGATTTGTTATAAGCAGTTTCTTAAATCAGCCCCCTATTGTGGGGGTCAGAGAAACAATTTTCTTTTAGCAGATAAAAACCTATTTATTAATATAGTTAGAAATAAACTAAATCTCACAGTGAGAGTAAGCAGGTTGCAGTTGGTCTTCAAATCAAGGAGGATGCAGAAATTATTGAAAAAAGATGCTAAAAAAATCTAGTTTTGTTATTATGAAATCTGCTTATAAAAAACCCCAGTTTGTAAAAATGCCAAAAGCAAAAAAATCCCAGCCAGTGTTTTCAATGACGAAACATTGTCAGAACAAATTCAAAATTGACCTGAGTAAAAAAGATCTACTTTTTTTCTTGGTTTTCTTCAAAACATACTGTATTTAGAATATAAACACATCTTCTTTTCTTTTTCATTTTTTTACAATTTTAATAATAACCCATGCAAAGTACTGTCCAAAAGTAATTGGTGCTCAGTTTGAAACAATATTTGTTTATTCCTCTGAGGCTGCTAATTGCCAAACCATAGTACATGTGGATGCTTACATTTAAAAGTCTATTGAAGATCAGCTGTGGAAAGTCTAGGCTTCTAGGCTTCCATTCAACTTCTTTTTGAAAATATGTTATTTTATCTAAGATTAGGTAAATGAAGAAATTAAAAATAAACCAACAACAAAACCCAAAACCCAGAAACACCCTACAGAGTTCTTGTAGCACTTCCAGACGTGTACTTTACAAGCAGAAATGAAAACCTGTTTCTGCAAGCACCGTGGCATGTGCCAGTGGAATTACTCAGCTGTGTAAAATTAAGCATATGTATTTATGATGTCAAGACCTCAGAAGTATAATTTGTTGCATGGAAAGAAAACTGGAAAATATATTCATGGACCTGGTCTAATCTTAAGGAAAGAATCTACATAACTAGAGGCAGATAGTATGAAAAGACTTACTTATGCAGAGGTAAGGCATCCTGATTGCTCAGCTGAATTAATGTGTAAAGTGAAGAACTCTCTCCTTGGATGGTTTCATGCACCATTTGTTCTGAACAGCCATAAAATATTTATTCCACTACTCTGTCCACTTACATCCAACATTTATAACAAATACCTGTCTTTTGCTCTAGTCAGAACCTAAGGCCTCTTTACCAGTAACTGGGAGTAGCTGACAGGTATGGGCAACTAGTCCATACTAGCCCAACTTTTCTCCACAAAAACTGTATTTCCCAATAAGTCATTTAACTGACCTTTTGTTTAACTAAAGCACATTGATATAGCTAAACCACATCCATGAACTTTGACTCTTGTAGGTATGGGAGCTAAAGAAGAAAACCAGAGACCCTGTTAGCAGCTAAAAGAGAAGTAAACTCTTTCTCAGAGTTAAATTGCAAAATTACTGACTGTTCTCAGTGCACAACAGGTATCCCAGATGCTGCTCTAAGCTGCCTTTTAGCCCATTTCTTTCAGTCCTGAGAGCAAAATCAAAGATGCATTTCAGAGCAGTTAAAGTTATGTTCTTTGCAAGAGGACAAGCATACTTAAGAGAAACTGTATCCATCTCTTTTGAATCGAACATTTCTTATTATTTGTAGCAAATTGATACACAGCAAGCATGTATATAGTATAGGTGGTTGTATTTCCCTTGTTTCTATCTACAGAAGTTAAATTTATTACATTAATATATTTCAGGGTAGGAAACAGAGAAGCACCACTCCAGCCACTCCAGCCAGCAGCACAAAATAAGCATAAGCTAATCATGCCTTTAATAATGTGATCCAGTGATGCCTCAAGAAAATCAGTATAAACTTTTTTAATAACACAAGTAGTTGGCAGCTTCAGTTAGAAGCTGCTATTGTTTGTATGCGTTATTAGCCAGGACTAACATAGCTTTTAGAAACATCTCACCCTCTGCCTTAAACTCTAACTTACTCCCTCTGACATTTCTAATAGGAGTTGCACCTGAGACTTGCAACTCCAGAGGGGGCAAAGAACTCCAATTTAATTCATTAGCAAAACGATTCTAGCTACATAAAACCTTTTAATTTACTGTGAAAACATATGACATTGTATGAAAAGTAGCCAAAGCTTTTAACAAGTTAAAAAATAACTCTGAAAGTCAATAGTTATTCCACCATATTATAAACAAGTCAACGTTTGACTCCTAATTGTAAATTACTATTTTCTCAGGGCACATACAAAGTCTCATTGTGGCAGCATGAACTGGTGCTCGGAGACTGCAGATAGTAAAAACACTATAGGAATATATTTTCATATCCTTAAAAAGTAAGTAAGCATAAAACTGTATCTGGTAGCATTTAATCAGTTTTTAGAATGTGGAATAAGATTCTCCGTACACCTGAAAGCCACCACCATCTGGGAAGCACAGCTTTCGGTTACAGTGCAATACAGGGAGTATTCTTACTGGATTTTTTCCTACCTGGAGTTGTTTAATTTTGCTGTGACTGATGTAGAGTCTCCTGGTGGTGGAAGGAATCTCTCTGGGGATCTCCGTAGCTCTGTAGCATTGCACTGACTGGACAGGGTCACAGCTGCATCTTCTTGGGCAAGTGATACTTTGAGCACTGTGAAAAGAAAGGATGACTAAAAGGTAAGATAAATACATGTTCCAAAACAGGAGCTCTGAAATCATCTGGGCAACATACATCTAGAATTAAGCACCAAAGTCCTTTTATACCATGAAATCCGATAAAAGGATATTATGACTGTGTATTTTATCCCAGTGAAAAAACAGCAAAAACAATACCGTAATTTGCCTGGGTTAAAATGTTGGCAGGCATTACAAAGAGTGAGAAACTTAAACAGTGATAAGATGCCTTTACATTTGTAGGTATGCGAAATTAGTGTTATTTATTACCTGACATCTAATCTGCAAACATCCATATTATCTCCAGTTTCCTAGTTTTGTTAAATGTGACACCATAGAATTAGGGGAGAAAAGATAAAGAGTTGTTTTATAGTAGGGCTGTAAAACCTTTGTATCTTCTGTGACCCAGTATTAGAAACAGTAAAAGCACAACTACAACCAACACCTAAGCTCTTTCACTCTTCTTCTTGCATTATTTAGGATCACCCCCCCCAAAAAAAAACCCCAAAAACCAAAAAGCCCAAACCCAGGCAGCTATTATTTTCAAGCTAAAACATTCTATTCAGTTTCTGAATATCTGTGATTCAGCTGAGTGCTGCTGGTCAGCACAGGTTTTTTAAAGATTGGACAAGAATCTAAGTTACTTGTGTTTGTGTAATTCACATAATTCAAAGTTTAATTATTTTGTATTTGAAAATTCCAAAAGTGAAAACTTGAAAGTATTTAGTATAAATCAAAAGGTAGATGATCAAGAAGATAAGACCTGTTTATCCCATGACAGATGGAGAACTCAAAAGTTCCCCACTGAGTTTTCCTTCTACTTATTAGTGCTTCTCTCATGTATCTACTAGCTGTGCCAGCTAGGGATGTAAAGTTTGGCTTGTGATTATTTTAAGAACTTCCTATGCATTGTATCTTTCCCTTTTTACTCAGCGATTTACAACATACAAAGCAACCTACTTAAGAAGTCTTTGTTTCTTATCATACGGATCTACTTTGCACTGTTACCTGTTTCCTTCCATCCTCTCCATCATATTTGCAGTAGTAGCTAATTCTATTCCTTGAATTCAGAACAGGGCCAGTTATTTTTCCAAGCAGAAGATGATGTCAAGTTGATTTGACAAATGGATAACTGAACTGGAGACTGTCCTCAATGGGAATGCCTATTGGATGCAGCTGGGTTAACAGTGGAAAATTGCCATATTCCCTCCCGGAGACCCTTCTGCCTCCTTAATCTCCCCACACTGTGAGTACAGAACGGCAACCCAGCACCTGCTAAACCAAACAGCAAGAGCAGAAACCCTTTCCTAAAACAGCCTGTCAAAGTGGCATGTTTAACAAGCTGTGCAGAAAAATCCTGACTGACTTAGGCCGTAGTGATCAACTGAGCAAGAATGAATGGGTGAGCAGGATTAGCAATGGTGCTTTAAAACAAATAATTTAATGTATCCTGATCTAGAGTTTCATACCTGGTTTGTAGATTTGCTTTATTTTTTCTGAAAGAGTCAAAGTACCCCCACAAAAGTGTAAAACATTTCTGCATACTGACAACTACTTGTGTTACATAGTCTTTGATTCTGTTTTTCCACTGGCTTGAGTTCAAATGCTGAGGTCACTAAGACAATAATGCTCAGGATCTTATGTAAAAATTTGTGTTCCTCAAAAATATCACCAAAAAGCAAATGCTTTTTGCTCAAGGAGGGTCAAAAGAAACGCAGATCAAACCCTACGGTTTGCAATTTAGAGCTCTAGAGTACAGCAGAGTCAGTCTGACACTCCCTTTAAATAAGAACCGTATATTGCATTCTTCCCAATTTTGTAACTTGTAGGTCACTCAGCTGATGTTAGAATTCACAGCTGTAGTTACAAGGTAATGACACAGTCGTGCAATATTCTTGGCTCTTCACATTTTTGAGTAATATCTATATCCTTGGTCTTTTCAAACTGATGAAAGGAATTACTGGTTTAATAGTTCATTTATGTGACATTAACAACGATTTAATCAAGAATGATATTATGTATCTATTAATTTCTGATATATGTCTGCTTTCAGCAGCCAGGTATTTTAAAGTGATAGGTATGAAAGATGATCCTATTAAATCTATCCTGTACCAATTCTGACATTCACCAGAGCTGATGCCTTTGCTTTTGCACATGACCTGTGGGGTTTGTATTGATTCTAGGAGACCTGATCGCAGCAGAACCGACGAAGAGTCACAGGGCTGCATGAGCAGAAGCCTAGTGGAAAGATGTGAGCTACACAAAAAAACAGGTGAAAAAACATTCCAGGATCTCCGCTGTGGAAGCAGCACTGCTGGCCCATGTGTTGCACAGCTTGGCAGGGGGATGTTGAGAAAGTCAATCACTGGTGGCCATTTCCTGACAGCAGTTTTTATGTAAACTCTCCACACCTTTCAATGGGGATTCCTGTGCGGGACTAATGGCATGATATTCCCCTCCATCATTTTTCTGTCAGCAAGAATGAACGATAGCACCCATAACCTGCCCGCGCAAGAAGTCCCAGGGACATTCTACAGTGTGTGCTTTAACCAAAGGTAAACACTTCAGATCAAAACCTGCTAAACCTAAAGTCCATATCAGATTCTTTTGTGTTGTTGGCATTTAATATGGACATTGGCTATAGAGTATGATGGCAAATTAGTAAAGTATATTGGAGAAATTTGGATACAACATAAGCTTGAGTTGGTGGAAGTTAGAAGATCTTTCAAGATTGCTGCTTTTATTTCAGATCTGAAGAAGGGCTCATAAAGGACTGTAAAGTTAGGAGGTTATTTTCCAAATACATCAGTTAGTTTAACAAAAATACTATCTTTTTGTACAAGCGTTGCTTCACACACGATTTCAGTATCTACAGCACTGGTGTTTGTGTTTGGGCCTTTTCTTTCTTCACTAAAGTCAGAGGCTTGACAAAAGCGCACATATGTATGTCAAAATGTAATTTTTTAACCTAAGATTGCATTTAGAAAATCAAGTAAGAGTAAAGAAGTCATTAAAATTAGAAGAATGAATCTGCAAAACTCAATAGTTATGGAGTGTTTAGAAATGTCTGAGTTAAGACCTATAAGCCTATAAAACCTCAAGGTGGATCCTTTGTAATGAACTTGATGTCAGAGATCATATAAGGGAAGATGCAGATGCTTGTCTATGGAAAGGAGAAATTGCAGGAAAAGACCAGCTTAGGGTCTGCAGAGGGCATGGGTAGGAGCTTGGACCCTGAGGGATGGCACAAGCACAAGCAGTTTGGCAACTAGGAGATGCTAAGTGATGGCATATGCTCTAAAGGATCCTTGGCATATTTAGCTGCTACATGCTATCGAGTGCCTGCCACTGAGTACGTGTGAATTTATAATTATTTTTTGCTGGAATTTTTAACTTGGATTTGGCCCAGTTTTTCATAGGGACAACAAATGGCATTTGTCTGCTGCAGAGGTTACCTCTGATCAAGCACTTCTCTCCAGAGTGTATTGGGCTGCTAAGGGAAACAATCATAACATCGTTTTTAAAAACATTATGCTTCCCTTAATCATCTGTTGAAATAATCTGATCTGCTTTACAGAAACGTTTCTTAAACAAAGAGCCTCAGAGACTTACACTGAATTAAGAATGTCAACCTAGATGTATTCTAGGCAAATTAATAATTCCTAATTAATACAAAGATTTTAAATTTATTCCTACAAAATAAAACTGCAAGTAGAGTTTCACAAAAAGAATCAGAGGCCTGTCTGAAAATAATGGCTCAATCTTCTTCATAAGCCAAGAATTTTGTGGAAATATTTTTTATCTGCTTTCATAGTATGTGGAGAATGTGCTTTCTATCTCCAGGCAAGGTCATCTTCATATGCTGGAAACAGCTGTTGGATGACTGAAAGCAGATTTTTCCTCCACACAATAAGATAGGTTTCCTTTTCTTCCTCCATGCTGGCTACATAGAGGAGATGAAAGTGATAACCCCTTAGGAATTTCTCACATTTCACCTGTCCGTGGCACGTTTACATTCCAGAGGAACTAGCACAGTGAAAACTGTTGAAAGTAATGAAACTTTGTTAAACAAAAATTCACATAGCGAGGAGTTTTGGTCATTGCCAGTTTTATGATAGTGCTGAGGGATGCTAGGCAAGAGCAGATGCATCTGGGGCAGGTACACCACAAACAAGAAATAAGCAGCACTCACGTGGAGGAGGTCAGTTTAAATCATTTCATACCCATATGCCACTAATGCTGCTGTAATTTACTTTCAAAGTATTGTTGCTAATGGCATTCACTTGATGGAGAACTGGCCTTGATTTATGCAAAAGAAGTAATTAAGAATTTGTAGGATATGATTTGGCATAGTTGTATATAACTCTACAGCAGAGTGAATATGTATCATGCATGCTGAGTGAAGTGGTAGGAAAGCTGTACAAGCTGTGATAAGTAACAAGTAAACTGTGGGGTTCTTTGTTTTGTTTTGGTTGTTTTTTTACTGAAATCTATAGTGCTTTCTGACTGCTTAGAAACTAGTGCCTGGCATGTGTTATTGCTTAATCATATCCTGTTGGGTGATTTACAATATGTGCAACCTGATCCAGGATTATTATTCATTAATAACCAAGCCACAGAGAGTGGTGCCCATGAAACCACACATTATAGTATGCTATAATGACAGCTTGCAAGTAGTGATATTTCAAGTTAGTCCCAGAAGAAATTAAGAGGGGGAATTGAAGAGGGCAGATTTGATGGCTGAATTCATTCTCAACCTAGAATTTAAATACATGGGTATTTTGTATATGAATATTTATGTAAGATCTGTAATTAACCTATGTAAGACCACGCCTCTTGTAGTGCCACCTGAGAATACAGTGGCAGGGATGGATCATCCAATTGGTACTGGAACCATGACAATTCTATTTCTGGCGTTTTGCACACACAAAAGTGGTGCAGGTCGGCAGTTAACAGCCATGACCTCTAAGGGCTTTTGAGAGCCCTATATGAAGCGAGCCAGTTCTAGCCCTTTCATT